TGGGTCCCACACCTGCTCCCTGGGTCTCCCCGGGGCTTCCAAGGGAGTATTAAAGTTCAGAAGCCAGGTGAGCCCTGACCAGAGCCAGCTCTCTCTCTCTGTCTCCCCATCTTTCTCTCACACCCCTCACCTCTATCTGTACTCCCAGGATTTGGGAAAAGGAATGGCCTGGGAGTCCAGCCAGGTGAGAGTGAGGGGTCCGGGGTAGGTCCTCTCCCTGCTCCCTCTCAGGCCTCGGAAGGGAGGGGCAGGGCTGGGGAGTGGCTCTGGGAGGACAGGGGGTAGATTGGGAGCCTTCAGTTTGCTGTTTCTGTCTGGGTCCAAGGGTCCTGCACACCCACCCCAGCTAAGACCCTAAACCTTCCCAGTTCACTCCTCCCTCTCCCCACAGGCCCTCCAGCTCAGAATGGCTACAGAATAGATAGAGGTGGGCTCAGAGTGTGTGTGGGAGAAATTGGGGCCAGTATTCTAGGGGCATCCCTGAAATGCAGTCTCTTGACCCATCTCCTTCTCAGGCATTGGAGGGGGTATAAAACCCCACAAGCCAGGTGAGCCCCTCACCCTGCCTGTCTCCCCACCTCTATGCCCTGAGTCCTCATGACTCTCCACTCCTCCTGACCCCTCCTGCCCTGTCTCTCCAGGGTTTGGGAATGGGAACGGGCAAGGAGCAGGGGCCTTCCCAGGTGCTGCAGCCCAGCCAGGTGAGGTGGGGAAAGAGGGACGGGTATGACATGCTGGGGACAGGGCCGGGTCAGCATTAGGAGGGGTTTCTCCCAGGCTCCCTGAGGCAGAACTAGTGACTCATTGGAGGCAGAGGGAAGGGCCATAAGGGTTCCTGATGTCTGGTTTGAGGATGTCAGAACAGGGTGCCCCTTCTTCACCCCACCTCAGCTGGGGCCCCAAATGCCCCCTGCCCTACCCCTCAGCTCAGCATGGCTATGGAGCTCTAGGATGAGACTGGGTCCCTGGGGTCCCCTCATCTGCCACATCTCTCTCCCCAGGCTTTGGAGTGGGTGCGAAACCCCAAAAGCCAGGTGAGACTCCACTCTCTGTGCCCATCCCTCTGTCCACCTCACCATCTGTCTGGTTCCCTTTGAGCCCCCCCCCCTCATTGTTCCCTCTGGCTCTGGTTCCCCAGGATATGGAAATGGACTGGGGGCTGGTGCCTTCCCAGGGCTGGGAGCCCAGCCAGGTGAGGACACCTGGGGTACCAGCCTGGGCTCAGGGAGGGGGAAGGTTGAAGGCAAAACTGGGATCAGGGGAGTTGGGTTCTTGGGGGAGGGCAGGAGGCTCAGTGTCTCTGTCACTCCCCAGGCCTGGGTGGGGGAATGAAACCTCCAAAGCCCGGTAAGTAGAGAGACTGCCCCAGCCTGGCTGGTTCCCCGCCTATTTTCATCCCAGTTCCTCTGTGTGCCCCAAACCTGCCCACCTCAGCACTTACAGCCCCCGCCTCTGTATCCCCAGGATTTGGGAGCAGAAATGGTTTAGGAGTCAGCACTTTTCCGGGGGCAGGAGCCCTGCCAGGTGAGGGTGGCTAGGGCAGGGGCTGCAGGAAGGGGCAGGCAAGGGAAAAGGGGTTTCAGGGTCAGGATCTGCACTCTTTGGGGGACTGATGGGGGGTCAGTGTCAACCTCTTTCTCTATCTCTTCTTAGGCCTGGGAGGGGGAATGAAACCTCAGAAGCCAAGTGAGTGGAGAACCCCACTTTCTCACCCTGTCCCAAGCTCTGGCACTCTTACCCTCTCAGGGACTGCTTTCTTCATTGGGCTGCTGTGGCCACTGCTATGGCTTCAGCCCTGGTCTTGGGGAGGGTTTTCCAGACTTCCAGGCCCTTCTCACAACTTGCTTCCTGAGGAGAACTGTTGGGGAGGGTGGGGCACAGAGGTCCTGTTTTGAGCACAGCACAGAAGGTGTGAGCCCACACTGGCCCAGCTCCAACCTCTGCCCTCCCTCTCTCCACAGGCCCTGCAGCTCAGAATGGTGGCCAGGGACCAGGTAGGGATGGGGGTGAGAGCTGAGGCATATGCTTGAGTTTGGGGGTTTAAGGGGGCTTCAGCTCCTTTACCTGGTCACCATCTCTTTCTCAGGAATTGGAGGGGGTGTGAAACCTCAAAAGCCAGGTGAGTCCTACCTTGTCCCTGTGTCCCTGTCACCCTCTGCCATCTGTCCCTGTTTACCCGCTTCCACCTGGCCTAACCTTAACTCCTTCCTGCTCTGTCTCCCCAGGATTTGGCAACGGAAATAAGATGGGTGCCAGGGCCTTCCCGGAAGCCCAGCCAGGTGAGGATACCTGGGCCAAACTGAGGTTCCAGGAAGGAAGAAGGGGGAGGAGCTAGGCGGTGGTGGGGAGCAGAAAACTGATTTCTGTGGGGTGGGGTCCATATATGGCTCAGTGGCACTTGGTCTTTCCCCAGGCTTGGGAGGGGGCATGAAACTACAGAAACCAGGTGAGCCAGTGAACCTGCCCTCCCATCCCACCATCTTGACTCTGTCTCTCCCCGTCCCTGTCCTTGTCCTTCCCAGCCCCATGCCTCACACTGCTGTTTCTCTCCAATACCTGGCCCATCAGCAAAGTGGCTGGGGAAGGGAGCTCAGAGAAAGAGCCCAGGATCTCGGGCACACCTTCCCAACCCCAGTTCCTAGCAGAGGGGCTCTGAGAGGCTCATTCCTTTCACCTGCCTTGACTGAGGCCACGGCTGGGCACAGCAGACCCTGTGCTTGGTCAACCTGAACGAGGCTGATGACTCCCGTAGGCTCAACCCACAAGCCCAGGACCACACAAGCCCAGTGCCATCTCAAGGATTGTGGTCAGGACTATAGGAGCGGGGGAACCCATGGGAGGTGGAAAATGAGAAGGCAGATCCAGCAGCTGGAAGGGAGCTGGGGGCCTGGGGATTTAAGCAGAGAATGAAAAACCCTGGCTCCTGGAGGCTAATGTTTCTAGGGCTGGACTCCCTGGATCTCCTAGTCTCTCAGGAAACAGCAGCAGGAGTTATACTACCTGGAAGTCTCAAGGGCCAGAAACAGAGGGCAGCTGTGGGGAGGGGTCTGGGACTCCAATTCCTCACTGCCTCAGTCTCCCCAGCCCCTTCCTGTCACAGGCCCCCCACAGTCACCTGCCCCCTTTTGTGAATCTAGCCAGGCTGAATGGAGGGGAGTCCAGGGGTCTGTGGGGCAGGGGAGGGGAGGCTGGGGGCCATTTCTACTTCAGCGGCACCCAGCTTTTCTGTGTCATCCCCCCAACAGGTCTCACAGTGCAGAACGGCTTTGGACCAGGTAGGGAAGGGATAGCTGGTGGATGAGGGTAGGAGCTGTTTCTGGGGCAGGCCCAGAGATGGGGCTTCTGGGTCCCTCACCTGCTCATCTCTTCCCCAGGCTACGGAGGGAATGGAAAACCCCAGAAGGCAGGTAAGTCCCACTCTATCTAATATCTCCTTATCTGTTTCCCTCAAGTTCCAGATCTCTCCTTACTCTCTCCTGCTCTGTCTCCCCAGGATTCCGGAACGGGGCCTTCCCCGGAGCTGGAGTCCAGCCAGGCAAGGCCCTGGGGCTCAGAGTAGGGGTGTGGCCGAGGGGGTAGCTGATCTGGGCGCCTGACCCTAGTTCTAAGGAGAGAGGAGGAGTGAAGTGGACTCACCGACTCATGGACAGTGCCCTCTCTTCCTCAGGTGTCGGAGGACTAAAACCTCAGAAGCCAGGTGAGACCCGCACTCTGCCTCTCCCACAAGAAACACTCATTCAACAAACATCTAGGGGCCAGCCAAAAGCCTGGGGCATGTGGGCAGGCGGAGGAAGACAGGAAAGGAGTGTGAGTGCAACTGGAGGCCAGGATGCCCACTAGAGGGCAGGGCCCACTGAAAAATGAGGACCCGGGAGGGTGCAGGCCCTGGAAGTGGCTGGGAGGCCATGGGGCAGGAGCTAATGCTGATAGCAAGCAGCTCCTGTGGAGAAAGAAGCCTCAAGGAGTTCACCCTCCCAGTTTACACGGCTGCTGGCAGTGAAACCTAACCAGGAGGACCCAGGCAGCTAGGTATGACATTCAAGGCTCTGGAAGGAGGCTGGAAGCCAAGGCAAAGTCTAGGATCCACTTAGGTGGGTCTAGGTCTGGGGTGAGACCTAAAGGGGCCAGGCTTAGCGTAGAGCCTCAGAGAGAGGCCAGTACCCAGAGTCCCCTCTCTCCTTCCACCAGGCCCTGCAGCTCAAAATGGCTATGGACCAGGTAGGGGCAGCCTGGGGTTCTGGGAAGGCTCAGGGGTGGGGCCCTGGTCCCTACTGCTCTCTGTCTTTCCACCAGGCTTTGGAATGGGTGTGAAACCCCAGAAGCCAGGTGAGCCTCACCCCAGCCTGTTTCTCTCCACTTCCCCCAAACCCTGAGCTCCCCTCCCCTCATTCATACCCAACCTGAATCTGTACCCCCAGTATTCAGGAACAGAAATGGGCATGGGCTTGGAGCCCAGCCAGGTGAGACTAGGGGGAAATCTATGTCTGGGTGTCTCCTCCTGCCTGCCTCAAAGGCCTTGGAGGGGCAGGATTGGTGAATAATTGAGGGGGCACTAGAAGGAAGCCTCTAGGATGCCAGCTTTCTGGCTTGCTCCAAGAGGGAGGACATTTATCTCCACCTCAGCCAGACCCCCCAGTCCCTTCAGCTCACCCTCCCTTTCCCCCAGGCCCAGCAACCCAGAATGGATTTGGAGCAGGTAGGAGGAGAGTGGGTAGGAACCTGGGCAGGCCTTGCAAGGGGGCTTCTGAGTTCCTCACCTGCTCCCAAATCTTCTTCAGGGTTTGGGGGTGGCATGAAGCCACAGAAGCCAGGTGAGTCGTGCCATAGTCGTGTACCCTCTGAAGCCAGAGCACCTCCTACTCACATTTCCCTGTCTCTCTCCAGGCCCAGCTGGGCCTTCCCTGGGGCAGGAGCCCAGGCTTCTTAGAGGGAGAGGAGAGGAGAGGGTTAGGAACTAGGGCAGGGGGCTGGGGGTGTGCGCAGAGAACTAGGTGCCCAGTAGTGGAGAGATGGAGGGTTGGCTTGTAGTCTGGGAAGGAGAGTGAAACCTCAGAAACCAGGTGAGGGGAAAACCAGGCGAGGCACCTCTGAGGCTGCCTGATTCTGTCCTGCCTTCTACTGACCCCTCCACATACTGCCCCTCAAGCCCACCCCTGTTTTTCCTCCCCAGGGTATGGTAATGGAAATGGACTGGGAACCCAGCTAAGTGAGGGCAGCTGGTCTGGGTCCTGAGAGACTGGGAGGGAGGAGAGGAGAGCTGGGAGGCCTAGTGGAGCCTGTTAGCCTCTCTGCCTCCCAGGCCTAGAAAGGGATATGAAACCCCTGGGCCAAGTGAGAGGACAGCCATCCTGCCCCTCCTCATTTCTCTCAGGCCTCTCTCTTTCATGACCTCCCTCAACACTAAGTACATTGAGGGGGGGTCTGTGCATGACTCAGCAGAAGGACACTACCTGCTTCAGGAGTAAGGGTGTCGGGGCACCAAGGACCATGGGGAGAGGAGTGGAAGGCATGACCAAGGGACCCCAAGTGCTGGCCTCAGCCCCACAGCCAGCTTTATTCCCCCACCTTCTCCCCACAGGCCCTGCAGCTCAAAACGGCTATGGACCAGGTAGGGGGAGGCTGGGGTTCTGAGGGGGTGCAGGGTGGGGCCAGGGTCCCTCACCTGCTCCCTGTCTTTCCACCAGGCGTTGGAGCGGGTGTGAAGCCCCAGAAGCCAGGTGAGCCTCACCCCAGCCTGTTTCTCTCCACTTCCCCCAAACCCTGAGCTCCCCTCCCCTCATTCATACCCAACCTGAATCTGTACCCCCAGTATTCAGGAACAGAAATGGGCATGGGCTTGGAGCCCAGCCAGGTGAGACTAGGGGGAAATCTATGTCTGGGTGTCTCCTCCTGCCTGCCTCAAAGGCCTTGGAGGGGCAGGATTGGTGAATAATTGAGGGGGCACTAGAAGGAAGCCTCTAGGATGCCAGCTTTCTGGCTTGCTCCAAGAGGGAGGACATTTATCTCCACCTCAGCCAGACCCCCCAGTCCCTTCAGCTCACCCTCCCTTTCCCCCAGGCCCAGCAACCCAGAATGGATTTGGAGCAGGTAGGAGGAGAGCGGGTAGGAACCTGGGCAGGCCCGGCAAGGGGGCTTCTGAGTTCCTCACCTGCTCCCAAATCTTCTTCAGGGTTTGGGGGTGGCATGAAGCCACAGAAGCCAGGTGAGTCGTGCCATTGTCTTGTCTCTCTTCGTGTACCCTCTGAAGCCAGAGCACCTCCTACTCACACTTCCCTGTCTCTCTCCAGGCCCAGCTGGGCCTTCCCTGGGGCAGGAGCCAGGCTTCTTGNTCTCTCTCCAGGCCCAGCTGGGCCTTCCCTGGGGCAGGAGCCCAGGCTTCTTAGAGGGAGAGGAGAGGAGAGGGTTAGGAACTAGGGCAGGGGGCTGGGGGTGTGTGTAGAGAACTAGGTGCCCAGTAGTGGGGAGATGGAGGGTTGGCTTGTAGCCTGGGAAGGAGAGTGAAACCTCAGAAACCAGGTGAGGGGAAAACCAGGCGAGGCACCTCTGAGGCTGCCTGATTCTGTCCTGCCTTCTACTGACCCCTCCACATACTGCCCCTCAAGCCCACCCCTGTTTTTCCTCCCCAGGGTATGGTAATGGAAATGGACTGGGAACCCAGCTAAGTGAGGGCGGCTGGTCTGGGTCCTGAGAGACTGGGAGGGAGGAGAGGAGAGCTGGGAGGCCTAGTGGAGCCTGTTAGCCTCTCTGCCTCCCAGGCCTAGAAAGGGATATGAAACCCCTGGGCCAGGTGAGAGGACAGCCATCCTGCCCCTCCTCATTTCTCTCAGGCCTCTCTCTTTCATGACCTCCCTCAACACTAAGTACACTGAGGGGGGGTCTGTGCATGACTCAGCAGAAGGACACTACCTGCTTCAGGAGTAAGGGTGTCGGGGCACCAAGGACCATGGGGAGAGGAGTGGGAGGCACGCCCAAGGGACCCCCAGTGCTGGCCTCAGGCCCACAGCCAGCTTTATTCCCCCACCTTCTCCCCACAGGCCCTGCAGCTCAAAACGGCTATGGACCAGGTAGGGGGAGGCTGGGGTTCTGAGGGGGTGCAGGGTGGGGCCAGGGTCCCTCACCTGCTCCCTGTCTCTCCACCAGGCTTTGGAGCGGGTGTGAAGCCCCAGAAGCCAGGTGAGCCTCACCCCAGCCTGTTTCTCTCCACTTCCCCCAAACCCTGAGCTCCCCTCCCCTCATTCATACCCAACCTGAATCTGTACCCCCAGTATTCAGGAACAGAAATGGGCATGGGCTTGGAGCCCAGCCAGGTGAGACTAGGGGGAAATCTATGTCTGGGTGTCTCCTCCTGCCTGCCTCAAAGGCCTTGGAGGGGCAGGATTGGTGAATAATTGAGGGGGCACTAGAAGGAAGCCTCTAGGATGCCAGCTTTCTGGCTTGCTCCAAGAGGGAGGACATTTATCTCCACCTCAGCCAGACCCCCCAGTCCCTTCAGCTCACCCTCCCTTTCCCCCAGGCCCAGCAACCCAGAATGGATTTGGAGCAGGTAGGAGGAGAGTGGGTAGGAACCTGGGCAGGCCTTGCAAGGGGGCTTCTGAGTTCCTCACCTGCTCCCAAATCTTCTTCAGGGTTTGGGGGTGGCATGAAGCCACAGAAGCCAGGTGAGTCGTGCCATAGTCGTGTACCCTCTGAAGCCAGAGCACCTCCTACTCACATTTCCCTGTCTCTCTCCAGGCCCAGCTGGGCCTTCCCTGGGGCAGGAGCCCAGGCTTCTTAGAGGGAGAGGAGAGGAGAGGGTTAGGAACTAGGGCAGGGGGCTGGGGGTGTGCGCAGAGAACTAGGTGCCCAGTAGTGGGGAGATAGAGGGTTGGCTTGTAGTCTGGGAAGGAGAGTGAAACCTCAGAAACCAGGTGAGGGGAAAACCAGGCGAGGCACCTCTGAGGCTGCCTGATTCTGTCCTGCCTTCTACTGACCCCTCCACATACTGCCCCTCAAGCCCACCCCTGTTTTTCCTCCCCAGGGTATGGTAATGGAAATGGACTGGGAACCCAGCTAAGTGAGGGCAGCTGGTCTGGGTCCTGAGAGACTGGGAGGGAGGAGAGGAGAGCTGGGAGGCCTAGTGGAGCCTGTTAGCCTCTCTGCCTCCCAGGCCTAGAAAGGGATATGAAACCCCTGGGCCAGGTGAGAGGACAGCCATCCTGCCCCTCCTCATTTCTCTCAGGCCTCTCTCTTTCATGACCTCCCTCAACACTAAGTACACTGAGGGGGGGTCTGTGCATGACGCAGCAGAAGGACACTACCTGCTTCAGGAGTAAGGGTGTCGGGGCACCAAGGACCATGGGGAGAGGAGTGGGAGGCACGCCCAAGCTGTCCCCCAGTGCTGGCCTCAGCCCCACAGCCAGCTTTATTCCCCCACCTTCTCCCCACAGGCCCTGCAGCTCAAAACGGCTATGGACCAGGTAGGGGGAGGCTGGGGTTCTGAGGGGGTGCAGGGTGGGGCCAGGGTCCCTCACCTGCTCCCTGTCTCTCCACCAGGCGTTGGAGCGGGTGTGAAGCCCCAGAAGCCAGGTGAGCCTCATCCCTTCCTAGTTTTCTCCACCTCTTCAAAACTCAGAATTTTCCGCCCCCCACTGACGCTCTACTTTGATATATCTCCCTAGGATTCGGGAACGGGCTGGGAGCCCAGCCAGGTGAGACTGGTGAGGTCTGAGGTGGGGGTCTACATCTGAGCTTCCTCTCTCACCTCTAGGCTTTTGAGGGGTAGGACTGGGGAATGATTAAAAGAGGCTGGGGCCAGGCTGGTGTGGTTCAGTGGTTTAGTGTCGACCCATTAACCAGAAAGTCACGGTTCGATTCCTAGTCAGGGCACATGCCCAGGTTTCAAGCTCAATCCTCAGTTGGGGGAGTGCAGGAGGCAGCCAGTCAATGATTCTCATCATTAATGTTTCTATCTCTCTCTCCCTTCCTCTCTCTGAAATCAATTTAAAAAAACATATTAAAAAAAAAAAAAAGAGGCTGGGGACAGCCTCCATGATCCCTGGTTCTGGCTTGACTTTGAAGGACACATGCCAGCCTTCACCCCACCTTAGGCAGGGTCCCAAGCCCCCTATTCATCCTTCCCACCCCCACTGCCCCCCAGCTCAGGATACCTACTAAACAGGTAGGTACTAAGGGGTTGAGAGAAGCTGGAAAGGAGGAGAGTAGGAGGCCCTTGCGGGGTGGGGTGGGGAGGGAGGGTGTCTTCACCCAGACCCTGTTCAGATGGTCCTCTCATGAGCTACTACCAGACTTGGAGAACTCAGAGTTGGCAATAGAATGGAGGTGGCATGAGACAGAGGAGGCCCCAGGGCTGTGGTTCCTAAACTGAGAGAAGAAGAAGCAGCCCAGCTCCATTCTCCTTCTGCCTCTCCCTCTCCTGTCCCCACAGGCCCTGTGGTTCCCATGGGCTATAGACCAGGCAGTGGAGTGGGCCCTGGGGAGCCAGATGCTAGGCTAGAAGAGAGGCCCAGTGGGTGGGTAATGGGTCCCTCACCTGCTCCCATGTCTTCTCTAGGCATTGTTGAGGGCATGAAGCCTCAGAAGCCAGGTAAACTCTTCCTCTCTACCCCCACTGTGATATTGTGATTTATAATAAATATATATTTGGTCTTCCATCCCGGCACAGAGCTGGCTCCTAAAAGCCTTGGAATTTCCGAAGTACTGAGAGAGATAAAGGTTCTTTTGTTGTGTTAATGAGGTGACTTTTGGAAAACCCTTTGGTCACCTAAGGGGAGGGGGCTGGTTGCCAGGGGAACCCACCTTGTGATTGGAGGGTTGTAACTCTTAATCCCACTCCCTTACTTCTGGGAAGAGGCGGTGCTGGAGATTGAGTTCAGTCACCAGTGGCCAATGATTTAATCAATCCTCCGGGTGTAATGAAGCCTCTATAAATACCCAAAGGACAAGGTTGGGAGAGCTTCCTCGCAGGTTGGTGAACGGGGTTGTGCAGGGAGGGTGGTGGGCTCCAGATGGAAGCTCTGCATGCCTTCCCACATACCTTATCCTATACATTTTTGTTGTTGTTATTGTTAATCCTCACCTGAGGACATTTTTTCCACTGATTTTCAGAGAGAGTGGAAGGGAGGG